GGCAGCGACGATGACGAAGTAGTAGTAGTGAAGGTAGTGGTAGGGAGCGACGGTAACGGTAGTGGGGGGCAGTAGCAGTGGCGGTGGAGGGGGTAAGTAATGGTAGTGGTGCGACGCGCATATACGCATCGCGAGGCGCACACCTGACAGTGTTCGAGTAGTAGTCGAAGGAGACGTACGTGTTCATTTTTCGGCCCGGCTTCCCATTGCATTATTCGGAGCCGCGCACGCCGGCAGGCTCGAAACATCGGTTTCGTCGTCGTCGTCGTCGTCGTCGTCGTCGTCGTCGTCGCCGTTGTCGTTGTCATCGCCGCCGCCGTTGCCGCTTCCCTCTCGTGCAGTGCAGTGTACGTCGCCGGCCGGGGTTGGACGCGAGTGCTAGTATTTGTTGGCTTTGATAGTGTTCCGTACTTGTGGTGCGCGTCACACCGTGTAGCCGCCGGGGATACGAACGTACGAAATGGAGCCACGGCGCGAAAAGTAGGTAGAGAGCACTTCTCGGAGTCCGATTGCGCCGAGTCGCCAGTCTGCCTGACTGAATTCTCTCCTCGCGTCTGCACGGCGAATGCCCGTAAAATATCCTTCCTTCTAATCGCGATAGATAATTCCTCAAGAAACTCGCGGTTGATTTCTCTTTATTCGTCGTAGGCACGTCGAGATACTATCTACTACTTCCCGAGTTATAAACGGTTATAAGATTATTTAACGTGTATTTAACAAAATATTCATTTCTGATTATTTCCGTGCGCATTTCCTAAATGAGAGTGTCGATTTGAAGGTTAGATATACAAAGAGTGTCCAATGCCGCGTATTAGCGGCGAAAAACATGGCGTCGAGGCGGAATTTTTATATTGCGGGAAACTCCGACGCCACGCGGATTAATCAAGAATGTTTATGAATAAAGGTCCGCAATGAACGAGTAACAACGAATCGCCGAGCAGACGTAGTTGATGTAGATTGTCGGTGCAATTCGGCTTTGGTCGCGGTGAATTCGACAAGTGACACGTGCAGCGCTTGACGTTTATGCATCCGTGATCGACGCGGACGAATCGTCGCAGTGTCATCTTTCGATTTGACGCTCGTTGACGAAGCGACGAATGAACGTTCCGGTGTGTCGCCAGATAGGTATTGACGGTCGTTTTCGTCTCGCGGTCGATTTGATTGATGTCGATTACTGCGGATGATCTTCCATGCCGCATGGCTTCTCATTCACAACCTCCGGTTGAGCATTTCAAGAGCGAGACAGAGAAAATTTGGTGTACTCCGTTATACCTGACGAACGATTCAAATTCACGATATAATTTTTATGAATGAAAAATGATGACTTCTTAAACATTTAACTCTTTAATTCTATGTTGCATGGAAATAAACATGTACAGCTGTTGAATTTTGGAATAAATTTTTTTGTTGGAATAAATTTTTTTTGGAAAACGAGAGAAAAAAAGCATTATTTCTAATATTTTGATATTTCTATATTTAGCCAAATAATTTCAGTCTGATAATTCTTAAAACTGTGATATTTGATATATTGGTGGTTAAACCAAATTCAGTTAAAAACCCGCGTTAAATTGAAAAAACAATATGGTTTATATGCTATTTTTTACGCCTTTTTTTATTGGCCTTTACGAGTCGAGAATTATTAACCTTTCCATATATTTTCGCCAATAAAAATTAATTCCAAGCTCAACAATAACATTATGTATTTTTAGTAGCCATCAATTTTTATAATCTTTATATAATATTTGGACATTGATAATTTAGAATATTCCAATCATCACAGCCTCGACCATTTATAAAATAAATTGAATTTTTTATTACACGTTATCAGCAATAATTATAATCAGTATATATTTATATCAATATATTAAGCATTTTATCAAAATTTAACATTTCGAAGGAA